ACGACACTAACAAAACTAGGCTGACAATATCTCAGTATGAATTAAATTTTGATTACTAGTGACGCCACTAGTGAAAATGAAATTGGTTAGGTATACAAGATCCATTAGTGAAACGTCTAACTACCAATAGATTATTTCAAATTCATTGATAATTTCAGTACAAAAGGAAAATTTCGTTTATTAGTAATACGTAGGTGACTGGCGACTTGTGTTGTGTCATTTTTATTGAATTTTCTAATAATAAAGGGTGTTTTTTTTACAAATTTTATTGCATTTAATTTTTGAGCATCACTTTGGGGATGTGACCACACTCAGTCCTTTCTAGGGGATCCCCCTGGCAGTCCATTTAGTTTTTCTTATTTTGGGAGATTTTGAAACCAAAGAATTCATGTGCCCTCGTGGGGATTAACCCATAGTCGTAAAATGATTATGTTCGTTAAATAATCCACAGATAGCATTTTTTGAAAAAACGTTGTATGGAGATGATCGCTTCATAAAATCGATTTTTTGGTCCAAATATGCGTTTATATGCACATTTCATCGAATTGTTTACTCTGAAAAAACTGATGTAGGGTTATGTTGAACTGTTTGTGTTGACATTTATTTCACAACAAGAATTCAAAAAGATTGTGGTGATTTCTGGTACTAAATATATTTCTAACTTTTTTTCACTACAAATCCAAAAAAAATTTGTGGTGCTCTAGCGGCAAAAATATATTTAGTACCGAGAATCACCACAAACTTTTTGAATACTTGTCGTGAAATAAATGTCAACACAAACAGTTTAACATAACCCTACATCAGTTTTTTCAGAGCACTATGAAAAATGTGTAAAATTGCGATGTGCGTATGGCGTCGTTCGCGTCCGCGTGCACGTTTTTTGTTAGCACGATATCTCAATAGGTTGACAAGATAAATGAAAACTGTAAACGGACAGAAGTCGTGTCGAGACTTAGATACCATTAAAATTTGAGCCTATGCTGGCCTACCAATCTCGTGCAATAAGCCTCGGACTTAGGACCTGAAATCCCATGTAAAATGACACTTTTGTATGGGAAGTACTCGAAAATAGCATTTTTCAGGGTTTCAGTCAAGGCAAACTGCCATTATTTTGCAAAAATAATGGGAGTCTGTGAAAGCCACTCAGAAAAAATTTAAGAAAGTAGTTACATTAGTTTGATATTTTAAGTTTCTCAATTGTCCATTAAAGTTTTGACAAAAAGAGTAAGTTTTATTTTTTATATGGATTGGGATGTGCAGTATCCGATCATCTGAAGTACTTCCGTAAAAAACCGATCGATTTCTGCCCTATGGAAAAAATCTTTTCAGGGGTCGCTGTAGTGCTCCGATTCGTGTTTCATTTTAGTAAACATCAACAACTACACAGATTTTACGTTGTTCCCCACACAGAGATACACAAACACCAATGCAGTGTCCGCATTCATTATATCTTTCGGCATCTGTCGCTCTCTGTATCATCTATAGTGATGCGTAATACAGAAGATAAACGATAGTGCAATATCATCGATTGTCTCTTTCGCACTTCAATGTGCGTGCGTAACACGGTATAACCGACGCTTGAGTGAAGGATGACCAATACGTATTGAAATGAATAGTTATTTATTTGTATTTCCATTGCTCACAGTGATGCTCACTGTTCACGGTCGTGTGAAAAAGGCAACAAGTCATATTGTAGCATCCAACAATTTTCGTACGACGCACCAACACAAATAATTCAGAAAAATGAAACGCAGTATTTCATACAGACACCGTATCGGTGTTTACATGTTTTGAGCGCGTTGCTTTGTGTGTGCGAGTGTAAAGTATTTGAATTATTATAAATGAGAACCAAAACCCAACGGTATGTTGTTGACCAATATACACTCGCAATAGCAGCGATGCAATAGTATTCAGCCACAGTACACACCGGTCGCAACTGTGAAAAGAGTGGGGATTCGTCTGTATATGTGTTGTATAAAGTCTGATTTGTTGCTATGGACATGCGGCGCCTCTTTCGGGATAATTTTGATACCGAAATCGTTTTGGAGGTTCTTTGATCTGGACAATGCAAAACTATTGTATTTCGCATTCGTGCGATCCAATCTGGAGTTTGCATCGTCAATTTGGGCACCACGAAATTCAACACACACTAACTATATCGAAAGTGTTCAACGCCAAGCTGTGATTTATTTGCATGAAGACTTCAAAACCAGAGAGGAAAACAACTTCGTGCTTCCATCGTATTCGATCAGGTGTGCTGAATTGGACTTAGCTTCATTACAAAGTAGAATTATTAATGCGGCCATCTTTCTCATTCACAAAATAATCACTGGAAGATACAACTCTGCGAGCATTAGAAGCGAAATGTCACTAAATACGGGTGTCAGAACCCTAAGAAATCCAGAATTCATTCGAATCCCATTCACACAGAGCACAGAATATGCACGGAACTCATCATTCATCTGGGCTTGCAGAGCATTTAACCTCTAAGCCCTATTTATTGATCCAACAATCTCATCATTTGAATTCAAATCGAAGCTCATGAGATTACCTGATGCATGTTTTGGACCAATGAACATGTTGGATTGAATGATGTAGCGTTGATGAGGAGAATTTTTGTTTCTGGCGATTTCTTTTTATCAGGCAAAAATGAAATCACCAAACCAGGTGATAATTTTTTCTAAGTATCTTTCATAACAAAAAGTTTATGGAATGTTCTTTCTGCAGAGTTTGGTGGTTGCCCTGAAAAAGCAAAATCGGATGCGTAGGAGGTGAATAAACCGAGAAGTTGAGAAGCGATTCCTGCTATGAAGTGCCAGTGATCAGAAGGACGATTTCATCCGAATAACTTACATGGGAAGGGAGATGAAATGACGCTACCGAATGAATGAAATTACCTGTTGTGTCGAAAGACACAATGTGAATGCACCTTTAAATATCATCAATCAAAACATCAAAACAGCAACCGACGGCCAATGAACAAACCAAAAAAAATGTGTGCATTCTTTTAAATTCACCATGGATAGCGGTAAGACGTCGGTGCAGACGAGGAGAGTAAAGTGCGTGACTTCAATTCATTTTCGGAATTAGATTTTTTGTGTTAATTTATATCATTTTCCCGATCGGTTTCATTCATTTGCCAACCTTTCATTTGTATAAAATCAAAAATAATAAGAAAAGAATGAGTTTAAGTCACTGTTTCAATGAAATTGAATCGATATGTTTTGTGTTTTTTTTTTGTGTCGAAATATGCATTCAGTGCGTAACAAAATAGTGAAATAATAACAATTTCGTTCATCAGAACGCCTAATTTAATTTATTTTAATGTTTAAAGTACCTAAAAAGTCGATTCAGTTTCATTTAAAATCATTTACACATTGTTTACGTTAAGTCGTACGATTTGTTCAGTTGGTTCATTCATAGCATGTGCACACACAGCCACCGTCTCAGTGTAGTGTACATTTTGTTGTTGTTTTTAGTCTCTCTCTGCACACCATGCGTTATGCACAGACTCCGTCTGAGTGGCGCGTGTATTTTGTTGCTATAATTTCGTCGGCATCGCTTGCTCACACACTTCGTTTCTACGACGCGTATATTTTGTTGCTATAATTTCATAGCTCAGTTGTATGCATGGTATACGAACTCCGTCTCAGTGGCGAATAGATTTTTTGTTGCTCTGCACGAGCATTCCATTGCATGCAAATGTACATCGATTTTGAGCGAAATTTTGCCACTTTTTTCCATCACAACGATTTTATAATTCGCCACAGCAACGTATGTCTAAATGTGCTAAAGAGACGGTCGCGCACAACATAGATTCAGATTCAAATTGAATACTGTTCTCTGTTCTTGAGCATAGCTCTAAGAATTGAACTGATTTTGTGCACACTGCGGTTAAACCAAACTACGGTGTTGAACTTAGTTCGAATCCTCATTGTAAACGAAGAAATAAACGGCTTTTTAAATACGGCGGTTTACCAAACGTAGCAATACATTTCGGTGAACTCCTGTTTTTGTAATTGACTGTTTTAAAGAGAGTTTGAATACTGCGGTTTACTTCGGTAAAACTACGGTTTTAAACGTTTCTTTATCAGCATCGACTTAAGCGGGTTTTTGCACCGTTTTTAAACGTTTAGTATTGGTTGAATTCTCACCTAGAGGATTGAATCGACGGTAGAACGTTCGGTTGGACTAATTGTAGGCACTCATAACATAGCTTGAGCACCAACGAGTTTGGTGATTTGAATGAACGTGCATGAATATTCGTACGTATCAACATAGCGATCATTGTCATTCAAATTAATGCGCCAATTGGAACTCTTCTGATTCATACTAGGCAAAACTCTCACAACATAGCGTGAGCAGTTGAGAACCCCTAAACAGAAAAGTACCACGCAAACTCTGCTGATCTTCGTCTCTTTGCGCTTCCACACCAACATAAATTTAGTTAACTAGTTTACACTGAACAGCTCGTACAGTCATTTGTATTTGTATCAATTTGACAAGTAAGAATAAAAACGCTTTGCAATAATACATTTGTTGTTTTGGTTTTGACTCAGCACCAGAGAACACCCGTGACATTACCAATTGTTTTGATATTGCCTTTTTTGACTTGTGAATTTAAAATTGATTTGCTAATTCATAACATTTTGATATTAATTTCTATTTGCATTCATTTTGCCATATTTATTTGCGCATCAATTGCTTTTGATTTAGACGAAAGTTTTTCTTCCTTTTTGAATTTGCGAAAACTGAATTATTTGAGATTTATTCTTTTGTAAAAAATTAGAAGCCATTGTCATTGTCATTTTTATCTAAACGGGTTTCTTTGTTCTGTTCTATTTCATTTCGTTTCGTTTCTTAGGTTTACTATACGATCAGCAGCAAACAGTATCATTACTGGACGAAGCAAAAGGTCCGAAATCGACAGGGAAAACGGTGGACCAAAGACTTGATCAAGGAAGAGAGGCGAGATCGTGAAAATCGTGCGCTTTATCCGGTGATGCCATCGCCATTGGGTAGGCACTGGAAGGACTACATTCGGCATCGACTCAAAATGACGGAACGTGGCATTGCCGTGTATACGACAGACAAATACACGAGACTGAATTTTGATAAGTACGTTCGATCAAACAGTGTGACCGATAGCATAGCCGGAATGTTGATCAACCATCAGCCATCACTTATGCGTTTTGGAGCTGCTCAAATGTCGCCCAGTTCACCTATCGGCATCAAAATGACACTGCGTTGCCCGGGCAATCGGAAGATGTTACGGAGCTACAAAAAGTGTCCTGGTTGTGTGGTTAATATGGTCGACGAGTATTTCACTTCTCAAACATGTGCCAAGTGCTTTGGCCGTTTGGGATCGACGCACGAAACGACATCGGTTCAAAGTGGTACAAGCAATGCTGCCATCAATGATCTTGTGCAAGGTCAACAAACGAAAGATGAGGCAAGAGAAGCTGAAAGTGTTTTTGCTCGAGAAAGAAGCGGAAGAGGGCAACGGAAATCCAGCGGTTGGAAATGATGTCCCACATCCAGATCAACTAAATCCAGATTTACTCCCAAATTTAGCGATCTACTATAAAACATGGCAGGTAAATGGGTCTAGTGGAATTTTGGAATACGTGAACGTCAATCGAGCCGATGATATGGAAGTTGTTGAGCCACGAGCACACAAGACGACATGGCATCGTGACATAGCCGCTGCAAAATGTACCCTGATCAAAGGTAAATGCTCATAATATATTGATTGAATTGCATGTGAGGTGCAGTGCTTTATTTACACATCATTCATTGTTTTCTTGTATGACTTTCAAGGACACTGTGACTTGTTTGGGTTTCCGTTACCCGAAACATTGCAGGGACCATCTAACCAGCATCATACATCGTCGTTCACGCCATTCACATTGAATAATTTAAATATTAAAATATAACATTATGTTTCCATCCGCTATGCCTGATTGTTGTGGTATAGTAGGCGTAACTCGAAAGAGGCCAGAAGTACTCATGTAACGGTCAATTTATGTTGTTCGGGATAAATTTAATCCGAGGGGTAAAATGGATTTTCGTCAGAAGACCAAATTTCTCGATAAAATTTATACCTATCACATAGGAAATTGATGCTAAACTCCATTCCGGCTATTAATAATGTTAAAAGTATTTCAAATATTTTTTCACACCAAGATATTTGAAAAAAAATTATCCTGAGGGGTAAAAATCCGAGAGGTAACAAAAAATACAATATTTGTACTGAAACTTCAATTTGTTGCTTAAATTCGCTGCTTTTTCTTCATAAATTTTGATATTAAAAACATTTTGAATCAATTTTTGATTAAAACAAAAATCACGCTTCATCACCTTGTTATAAAATTTACCACGAGCTGGAGCTCTTGGTAAAAATCCAAGGGGTAAAAAAATGTAAAAATTATTTTAATCGAAAACTGATTCGAAATGTCATTATTATCATTATTTATGACGAGAAAGCGGAGAATTTAAGCAAAAAATTGAAGTTTCGGTGCAAATATTGTATTTTTGGGATTAAATTTATCCCGAACAACATAAATTGGCCGTAAGTAACAGTCTATTTATGTTCCTCGGGATAAAATTTATCCCGAGGTATAAAATTTTTGTCCGATTTGGTATAAAATCAATTTATGTTGACAGGGATAAATATTTTTTACCTCAAAAATTTGATCAGGCTAACAATACTGTTAAATAGAGATGATTTTCAAGCTCTCTGACATTTAGTTCGTTATTTTTTTCATTACTCAGGTTCTTTTGCTTGGATTTTATATCCAAGGTATAAAATTTATACCACCTGGGGATAAAATTTATACCAATATTATATTTATCCCTCGGATTAATGCAATTTATCCCTCGGGATAAGAGTTATCCCCCGGAAATTTACGACCATGTCGGGACATGGTCGTAAATATTTATCCCGGAGGTGTCAGATCGATCAGAAACAGATATCATTTCTAATCACACCAACACTTATGACACGTTTAGAAACGTCCAGAAAAGTTGAAAAAGGTTGGGAAAAAGTGTTCTTAAACGATTTTGTACGATTTTGTCGTATTAGTACTTTACCAAATTGAACATTCGGCTCATATTTTATAACCGTCAATACATTTGTTGACAGTTTTGCATATTAGATAATATTGTGATCACTCTATCTGCCGCATTGACATTTCATGTGCTACTACATCAATTGCATTCTTTCTTTTCGCCTTTTCATTCGTGAAATGTGTGAGTGACACACGCAGACAACTACAACAGCATGTAGGAGTCAGATGAAAAAGACGCATATTATAGGAGTTGTCGGTAAGGCAGAAAGAGATCACAATAATGCTCAATGAATAGACTGCGCCTCTCTCGACAAAAGTTGACGTATTTTGGGAGCAAATAGCCTATTTGTTTCAGAATCATGAGAAAAGAACATTCCGACCAGAACTGTGCAAAAACCTTTGATTGGGACCTGGCGCATCGTGTATATCGCCTCGAACAATTCATTTTAGTCATTTCTGATGGAATATACACTTTTTACTCGCTGCTATCGTATTTTTTACCATATTTATTGCTTCGTGACCTTAGAATTGAACTAATTTAACACAAATAAACAATACTAAATCGATTTCACATCGATTTTTGATCATTTTTAGCAAATTTTTGACAATTCTGTATGGGTGGTACCCGTAAACCCCCCTTCCGAATAGCTTCAAACTTTCTCGCATTTCATTTTTCGGCGAAAAAATGAGATTCCGAAAGTTTCATGCTGATCGCATTTGCACAAGTTTGGTTTTGGCCCAATAATTTTATCTGAAATTTCCTTGAACTTCTACTTCGGTTATAACATTTCAATGCGAATTCCCAATAAACTAATAAACATAATTAGACCACATCAAACATGTTTTTTCCGATGGCTGAGCATCTCAGCATTTCGTATGGGCCAAGGGCAGTGTCAAACCGGATCTGGCCCATCCTGAAGATCCACTTCCAGAACTGGGAGCAGTTCTGATCGATCCTGAGGATCCACCAAAACCCACTTCCAGAACTTGATGATTAAGATTATTAAGATTGAATGTTGATAAATTATCAGGATTCGATCTTGATAACTTCCAAAAGATATTATTAAGATTCATCCGATAACGTTATTATTTGAATATAGTTAATATCCTGATAAAAAGTTGATAGCGTTATTAAGATTCCATCATAATAACGATATCGAACGATATTTTTAGTTTATTACGATATCTTGATAAAAAAAAAATCGTGAGCACAGCTATAATCCCAAAAAGCCTAAACTTAAGGATTTTTCGATGAAAAATGGATTTTTTGAGAGTTGGAATCGAACCAATCGAATATGAGGGTAGAGCTATGTGAAAACATGACTCGATTTGGTCGTGTAAGTATCCAAAATGTTCATAAAGGATCATACTAGATGTTCAAAGGCAGAAAAGATAGAAATCGCTTGCTTTTATCTGTCAAACCGAAGCTCATGTTCGTGATTTGCTCATTTTGGTCTGAAATTGGTCTTTTATGTCTGAGTCAATTGACGCCAAATTCCATCCAAATCGCAATCTGACAACTAACCAAATATTTGTACAGGTTCTGGCTAAACGATACAAGTCAAAGACTGAACAAAAGTCTACCATCTGGATGACTTATATGGGTCAAATGTAAAAAATGCCGAAAATTTGAATTTTTTTTGGTCATTTCACACTGTAATTGGCCCAGAATGCATTTTCATGGGCTAATGTCTTGGCAAAAGTTATATATATTGACGAGATAAACAAAACCCTATCATCAGTTTTTGCCGAAAGTCGTTTGGAAAAATTATTTTGGTCGAAATGTTGCGATCTAAAATGGCTTCCGAAACGAGTGGAATGAAGAAATGGATAACTCTTTGGAAAGTGGTTTTTTTCTACGTTTTCCAAGTTTTTGATGTCAAACTTATTTTTTTGAGGGCAATTTTCGAAATTTATATGAATATCTCAGGAAAAAAAATTCTGGACCAGTCTAACATCACATGCATCTGTATTATGAATTTTTTACAAGAAAACCACTTCTGCTTTCATTTACATACAACGAGAACTATTAAAACATTTATTTTTCATATGTTCAGCATGAATTTTTGTCCGAGGGATAAGTTGCGATTTTTATCCCTCGAAATTTATCCCTCGGTATAAATTGCATTTTATACCCCGGGATAAATTTTATCCCGAGGAACATAAATAGACTGTAAATGATTTGTTTTTCAATTGAAATAAGAGTGAATGTATTTATGCTAATTTTATGCAATTTTTTCTCCATTAAATCCATGTACGATTGGATCACTATGACGGTTACCTCTACGGTTAAATCTATCCCCGTATTCAACCTTGGATATATGCCTGGAATCGGATGCATTTCGGTTTATAATTGTTAAATAGGTATACAACATACAACATATTTGTATTAAGCAAATTGAAAGTTGAATATATTGACTAGAGGGTTAAATTCTCAAGAATGCAGGTTCTTTTGGTGTTTAACCATTTATTTTTTTTTAAATGAAAATGATTTGAAATATGAGCATAAATCGGAGAGACGATGGAATATTAATCTTCTTCGTCATGTTCATTATTTCCAAATTTTCCATGTTCTATATTTTTCAGTCAGGATAAACATCGATCTTGATTCGATTATGACTGCTACCAACTTATTGAATAATAAAGTGAATTACATTCGTAATCCCACACTTTTCCGTATTCTTGTCCGTACTTTTTGGATGAAAAAATAATTATTATCTGTATATTCTGGTTTATTTTGAAAAATGCATTTTTGACGACGACGACGAAGACGGCACACGAACGGAAAAGTGCCTCAAAAATGTGTTTTCTACGCGTTTCATGAGTTTTTATGATGATCTAAACCAATTTTGGGGAAAAAAAATTCGGGACCAATTCCTATACTTTCCCTTTACAATATATGTACGGAAAAGTAATGAAGTTACTTTTGATTGTCTAGAGTTTTCGAAAAGATAAGAGAGTGGCAAAATCTGAAAAAAAATCAACGACCACTATTTCTTGCCAATTTTGCCCCATCAACCGATTTTTTTCCAAACGTTAGGACTTTTGAACGAAAGATCCTGACAAGCAAAAACACCATTTCAAAGTATTCACACTTATCATATCGTTTATTGTCAACACATGTTCAAATCTTGTGAGGAATGTAATTTAAATTACGTGCATTTCTTTTTATTTGACTTTCCCTTGCGTAAAAGGGTAAGAGAGATTTGAACAAATTAAGCAAATAGATTGATTCATTCAAAAAATAAATAGATAAAAATGTACAACTAGTTGCTGGTAACGTTACCTGAGATATTAGCAGTTTGCGGTTGTGGCCAAATTTGAAGTAAATACTTTAAAACAGCGATCGGTTGCGCATGATCTACTTCGGAACCGTTTGGGCTATTCGCTGAATGCAACATCAGTGGTGGACCGATTACAGTTGCCAATGCTAAAAATGGAAGGCATTTAATCGTGTGCATATCAGAACATATAACAATGAGGAATAAACTTTTTAAAACGCAAGGACTTTTGAACGGATCACCAGATTCAGCTTATATACAAGATTGTAGATTGACATTGAAAAAGTCAGAACAAAACATTTACCTTGGGCTGACATTTTATTTCTTTCGGATGCTGAAACGACCAATGATAAATGATCGAGGAGAAAAACAAGAGTTGCCTATGAAAACACAAAATAATATTCATTATAGTGATTTCTCGATTTATTAGATGATGGTATCTATCACATACCCGATTCGCTCTTGGTAAACAATCCAAAATACTCAGCATCAGCTTTGCATTTCCTTCTGGGTCATCCGGTAAACATACACCTAAAATTAAAAGAAAAATAAACATTTTGGATGTTAAAAGAAATTGTCTAATTTTAAATCCATTCGTCTTAATTTACCTAATGCATCCACTGTCATTTGGAATAAACATCTCGTGAATAGTGGCTCTGGTAATTCTCTTAAATAGTCTTTTAAAACTCCTGTGATAACATTTATATCTGGAACATGATCTGGAGCTAATTCGACAGCACGACAGTTTCTCTCAAACGCTTCTCTGTAAAATATTCGTTGCATGAAGAGCCTTTTAGTATACTGTGGAAATAATTTACTCTGAATAACATTCTGTTTTACAAAATTCTGTTGAATTGACAAAAATTCTGCATTGTAGCACCAAATACACCCACTGGGTACGGTTCAGTAGCAGAAGTGTGCAAGAGGGGGAGGGGATTCGGTTTTACCCCCCCCCATCTAGGATTTGAAAATCGAAGACCCCGAAAAAATCGAGCGATTTTGACTAGATAGAATGAGTTTTGACTTGTTTTTACAACAACAAAAATAAGCTTCGTTGGAAATTCGCTGCTTCTTCCAACGATTACGATACGATAATTCTAACTGAGACGTGGCTCAGAAATGATATTTATGATGCTGAATTTTTTGACGATTCGTATTCTGTTTTTCGTAGGGACAGACTTTTTTAACGTGGTGTACTAAGTGCAACCAAAAATGAAATAAAAAGAATTACATTGGTAATCCCGAACTTTTCCGTACCGTTGGCCTGCGTTGTCCGTAGGTACTTTTGGTTATTTTTTGTGAATTTTCTTGAAATAAAGGCAGTGAAAATATAATAATGAAAATAAAGTGAAAAATCGGTCACTTCAACTATTTTGTATGAGAGGTACCCGTAAACCGATTCTTATTGACTTTAAACTAAAAGTCTACCATCTGGATGACTTATATGGGTCAAATGTAAAAAATG